TTCACAGGGAGGTAAAGCGTCAGCTATAGACTTCCTAGCAGACAGGCTGCGTGCGATTCACAGCAAGTAAGTACGGAGAGGTGAGTGACTTGCCAAAACTCACGTAACTAGCAGATGGCAGACCCCAGACTTGAACTCCTCAAGTCTGCTTCAGGGAAGGAAAGAGGCTGGCTTGTGTAACACTCAGGGGAGGGGCCGTGGTGACTTGGTAGGGTTTTAGCTCCCAAGTTTGGCCTTCCATTTGGTTTCTAAAGGATCTATTCTTTGAGAGACAGGCCTTAGATGATGAAGGGGTGTGGAGTGAATGGTGTCTGTAGTAGCACTTGGTTGTCTTGTCTTTTTCACTTCATTAGAAACAGTTTTGTTAGACTGTATTGTGAGAGCTGTCATATCAGCGTGCATTTAAAAAACCTTATCAAAATCGGTAAATTTTTGTGTAGCCATTTTAATATTGAAGACAAAACAAAATATGCAACATTTTGCATATGATGCTTTAATATTTCCAGAAAGATAAAAAGGCAACTGAAATGCAAAAAAGACTCGTGCAGTGCATGGAGAAGGTGCTGTGACTGATCGAACGTGTCAAAAGTGGTTTGCGAAGCTTCGTGCTGGAGGCGTCTTACTGGACAATGATGCTCCGTGCTCAGGCAGACCAGTCAAAGTTGATAGCATTCAAACTGAGACATTAACTGAGAACAATCAACGTTCTAGCACATGGAAGAGAGCTGACATACTCAAAATATCCAAATCAATAAAGTTATGGTGAAAATGAAAAGTACGTATTTTATTTTTACAGAAAAAAACAATGGACAACCCAATAGTTGCCAGGGTCCCCGCTGTCATTCCCTGTGGGCACACATACCAAAGCAGGAGCATCCAGACTTGCTGAGTGACTGTCTGAGGCCTAGAAGAAAATCCAGGCAACAAAAACGCGGCCTGGTAACCTCTAGGAACCCAGACGTTAAAGGCAGGGGTGGGAGAGAGCGAGCCCCTCTCATGTGTTTGGTGAGAGTCCCAAATGGGAGTGACAGTTAGGCCCCTTGAACCCACTCACAAAGTGGGCTGACTGCTCAGCACCATGGCTTTTAGCTCTTTTTATGGATCTGAAAAGACCAGGGCCAGAAAAAGTCAGAGGATTCGCTCCAGATATCCAATGGCAGAGATGCTCAAATTGGTAGAAAAGCACAGACCTTGGTCAGGACCTGGTCAAAAAGGGATTCCGAGGACCGGGCTCTGAATGTGAAGAAGTGTTAAGAATACCTTCCCTTTTACTTTTATCGCTCTGCTACTGTGTGTGCAGGTGTGATGTGATTTTTAAAATGCACACCTCCATATGTCCACATAGGTGTTAACAAGCTTAAGGTAAGAATCCTAGGTAACAAAAAGCTTTTTACTGGCAGTGCTCCATCCTTTCTTATTGGTACATAAAATAATGGCACAAAATATAATCAGGACATCTTAGATTTGATGAGACGTAGTATTATTCTTCTTAAAACTTCTCTTCCTTTATGTCCAAGACCAAGTGACCTCTAAAATATAGTAATACTAATAACTAATGGTTATCTTTTTCTTTTTCTGTAACACTTAGAGAATTTACCTTTTTATGTTTAGAGCTAGAGTGCACATTTCCATAAGGGCAGAGATTTTCATCTGTTTTGTTCCCCGATGTCTCCCAGGCCCTAACACAGTGCTGGGCCCATAGTAAGTCCTCAACTGAATGAATGAATGAAATCTTTGTGTGTGCTAGGCATTGTGCTAAACACTTTGCATGCATCATCTCATTTAACTTTCATGAGAAACCTAATGTAGATATTACTATCATCCACATTTTCAGCTAAGGAAACCAATGTAAAAGATTCAGTAACTGCCCAAGGTCACACAGCTTGACACTGGAGGAAGAAGGATTCAAGCCATCTGGCTCCAAACCTACACTCATCCACTATACTCTGCTGCCTTTAATACTGCCCGTGTTCCCCTTCTTGGTTTCTCTGGACTCCCACTGACCTTGGTGTATGCCTCTATCACTCTTTTTATTACTCATTATTTGAGGATAGAATGGCCTGGGTACCCCCCTAGATCAAGCTTCTCAAGGGCCGAGACCTTATCTGTCTTTATACCCCCTAGACTGGCACTGTGCAGGTGCATTCTGTCTGTGAAATCAATGGGCTCTGCAAGCACAGGAAGCATGGCAAAAGCTTCAAGGGTTCCTAACCGGCAGACCAAGGCTTGTGGACTGGATGAAAAGGAACAGCTTAGAAAGAGCAACTGTGCCCTGGCTGGTGTAGCTCAGTGGATTGAGTATGGGCTGCCAATCAAAGGGTTGCCAGTTCAATTCCTGGTCAGGGCACATGCCTGGTTTGAAGGCTAGGTCCCTAATGGGGGCCACGTGAGAGGCAACCACACATTGATGTTTCTCTCCTCTCCCTCTCTTTCTCCCTCCCTCCCCCTCTAAAAAATAAGTAAATAAAATCTTTATTTAAAAAAATAAAAAGAAAAAGCAGCAGCTACTCTGGAGAGGGAATCTTGGGGCCAGTTTTGAACCTGTTGAAGTGATGGGAAGAGCAATGAGAGGCCCACTGGGGACTCGGAAAGAGAAAACTGGCCCAGAGGTCCTTTCAGGATTAAAATGTAGACTTGCAAGTCTTTCTGATAGAAGTGGCACCAAAGCTGAGAGTGCGTCCGCTCACCCAGAAACATAACGCAGAGAAGAAAAGGACAACATGTTGGAGCATGCCTACAGGTGACAGGAGAAGAGCACAGAGCTCTAAGGACACTCACTGCAGCTACACTGACGTTGAAGGCATCTTTCTCATGTTGGTGTCCCTGAGTAAGTGTCCCGATAACTGCTTTGTAAAGAGGTCAGATTATAAATAAAAGTCCATGGGCAGCAATAGACAAACAACCCACGCATGTTCAGTGCTCCTGGGTCTGTCTGGCCCTGTGCACCAGCGGCATGGAACCCGCTGAGTTCAGACTAGAGCCCGCCCACCTGCCGCCTCCTCTGGATGACAACAGCCAGCACTGATGCAGGGCTCCCACCTCCTCCCCGGGACTCCTCAGGGCCTCCTCTCCCCTGCAAACGGGCTGGAGATTACACCCGCTTTGTGCCATTGGATGGCAACCACATTCTTTTACTGGCCCATATTGTAGGTGAATTTGGCCTTTGCATTTTCTATCCTGCATTGTTTTCCTCTTTATCAACACATCAACACTTCTAGTTTTTTCTCTGTTGGCTGAGCCACAGTTTCTCCACTGGTGAAACCTTGGGGGTAAGGCTGGGCACTATTACCGCAGTTCCTGTTACCTTGTTGGCAATTCTTTGCGCTTTAGTCCTACCATGGACCAGGAGGAACTGCTCCGCCGCCGCATAAGTGGCAGTTAGTGTGAGAGTCCACTGACTTTTGACCCAGCTAGCACTTAAGGTGTTAAATCCATTAAAAATGCAGCCAACACATTATATGTGTTCTGTTTTTACCTCTGCACAGTAAAGATGAACTTTCTCAGGTCAACTACTCTATGTAAACATTGTGACATACATCATTCGTGTAGAAAAGGCAGGCACACTTGCACAGTTTATTTGAAGAATAATTATAAAGGAGCACCCAGCTCCTTTATAATTATTAAAGGGCGTGGGTGGAGCCTGGTCAGCACTTCAGAATGCCCCTCTGCACCCCTCCTGATCGCATCCCCTTTCTCTAAACGGTTTCACCGCTTGTGCACGTGGCCTGAGCTACACGGTTATGTTTTGACAGGTTTGGACCCTGCCGCCAGTGCAAACACAGGGTGTCTGTTCTTTCGTTGATTCGCTTCTGTCACTCAGCACTGAGCTGGATCTTGTTGCCGTGAATGACTGCAGTGTGCTGCTCTCTCTCTGCCGCTGAGGCTCTCACACATCCTAGTTCTTGACCAGACCGTCCGTCACTTCTCCTCCCCATCGTGGGTGCGAGCTGTGTTGTAGCTGCACACGACAAGAGACACTGCAGGGTTACTAGGTACTGCCGCGCCGCTTTCCAAAGCGGTTGTATCCATTTCTCCGGCTGCCCCTGGTTGGGGACACGCCCTTCCTCCTCCTCATTAACACTGGTGACGGTCATCGGTGTGCTGGCTGCTCTGGTGGGCGTCTGGTGCTGCCTGGTCGCTCTCACCTTCCTTTCCGTGGTCCCCAGGAAGGATACGCGTGTGCAGATGGGTCACTTGCGGTTCTTCTTTGGTGCCCTACCTCTTTAAGCCTTTTGCTTATTTTTAAAATTAGGTGCGCTCCTTTTTATTGATTTGTAGGTACTCTTTATATGTTCTGGGTACTAAGCCTTCCTTCATTTTATGTTTTGCACATTTCTCCTACAATGTGGTTCTGTCTTTTCCACTGAATTTTAATATCGTTGAATTTATTTTCCTTTAAGGCTAAAAAAAACTTCTCGACCCCATACTCATAAAAAACGAACAAACAAAAAGAGAAACCATTCCTCTGTACAGGTCCCCATAATTTATCTGAAATCCATGGAGCCTCCTGTCACTCCGTCACCTTTTCCACCAAGTGAGTTCCAAAAAGAGCCCTGGCCCGCGCCTCCGTCTGCGTCCAGTAACCAAAACGCTTGCAGGTTGGATCCCGGCTGCGGGCGCCCGTGAGAGGCAAGCGATCCCCTCTCCCTCCCCTCCTCTCTCCCTTCCTCCCTCTCTACCAAGCAATGAAAAAAGGGTCCTCAAGTGAGGAGTAAAAAATAGTTCCGAAGACCTAGGTCCAGCCCTTCTGCCTCAGGCGCAGCTTCCCCAGGAAGCCTCCTCCCAAAGGCCGCCTCAGGGGCAGAGTTCGCACCAGGAGCCTTCGGGCGGTGCTGGGCCTGACGCTACGTAGTGGGTCAGGAAAGGGGCGGAGCTCGTCCCGGGAGTGAAAAACTGCCCGGACTGGCGTTGCCCGAGCCTGCGGACCCCACCTCCTCAACCCTCAGGAAACGCCCCCTTCCTCGAACGGGGCGGAAGTCTCTCCCCAAGTGCTGGAGCGGGGCCGGAAGTCCCGCCCCCGGACATTGTACAGCCGCGCGTGAGGGTCCGAGTGAGGGCCCTGGTGTGTCCCCTGTTGGGAATTTTGCGCCGCCTGAGCCGCAACCTGCGGTCGGCGCCAAGACTTGGAGCTGCGTTCTCCCCAAGGTGCTAAGCGGTGCGGCCCCTGCTCCCGGTCGGTGCCGAAGAGGACCGGTTCTGGGCGGGCGGGAAGGTGAGTTTGCTGTTGGCGGGCGGGCGGGCGTGTGGGGTGGCCCGGGGAGGTCGCTGGCTGTCTGGAGCCGCGGTTACTCGCCTGCGGGAATAGACGCCCAGCTCTGCTCGGTCATTTTGCTCCGTGCACTAATATGGAGGTCAGATTGGTTCAAACAGCACCTGCTAAAAAGGGCACCGCTACCCCCGTTTTACCGATGGGATAGTGGCTCCAGAGAACCAGGGCGCGACCCTCAATGACAGCGAGAATTCCCAATCTCTCGGGAACAGGGGGTTCCCAATCGGCCCCGACCCCGCTGCCGCGATGAGCGGGGTCAGACATGGTGGGAAGTCTCGGACGCATGCTGGTCTGTTGCTGTGGATGTCAGCTGAGTAGTTTCAGCTGCACCGTGGAAGTCCCGGGCGTAATTGTGAACACCTGGCGTTTGCGGAACCGCCGTAGTTTTGCCTGGCCGCCGCCTTGTTCATGGCAGATGTTGCTTTGGCCGGCAGCTCCAGCCCGCCGGGATGGCAGCCCCGTCCATGAAGGAGAGGCAGGTCTGCTGGGGAGCCCGGGATGAGTATTGGAAGTGTTTGGATGAGAACGAGGGCGACGCTTCCCAGTGCAAGAAGCTAAGACGCTCCTTTGAATCAAGTTGCCCCCAGCAGTGGGTAAGTCACACTTGGACCTGTTTCTGTTTGATCTTGAAATAATTAGAGGGTACCGTGCGAGTGGCAGGCTGTGCAGTGAAGGCTGTCTTAGGCGTGTCAACAAGTCAGCAAATCAGCAGAGGCTGTGAGAGGCAGAGAAAACCTCGTGTGGTTGCCCAGGCTCCTTTTATGTCCTAACATCAGGCCGACGTTTAGGAAAAGTCAGCTGGCACTTTAAGGATCATTGAAAAACAAAACAAATGAACATAAGCCCCCAAAACCCAACCCACTGAACTGGTAGACTTGTCCAGGATCTTCCTAAGGGCTGATATTTAAATCTCGGGCAGGAGCAGGCATATCCATTGGCCTGGATCTGCTGTCAACAAATGAAGTGCTCCCAGCTGCCCGCCCAAAACAGCATAGTCATGTACCCAAAGTATAATGAGTTCAGAAAGTAAATGTTCGTGTGGTAGACTCTGCCACCAGCTGCCCCAAGGCCTCCCTGACAGGTGTGGCCTGAAGGAGGACGCCTGCACCTGCACCCTGGCCAGCCCTTCCTCCTCCTCCACAAGTGCTTGTTGCGCTCTCTAGCGGAACGTTCACAAGGACCAGCCTCTTCACAGACAGGACTCGACCTTCCCTCACGTTCTTCCATGCTCCCACCTCAGGGAGCCCCAGCGTCAGCACAGTTCCAGGGGGCAGGGGGCCCGCCTTTGCCTGGAGAGTTGTGGAAGGAGCGCTCTCAGGAGGGAAGCTCGGTGACACCTGAGACAGCCCTGCGGTGGGGATGGACCCGGGTGTCTGAGGAACAGCAAGGAGAGACTGGCAGAAGCTACGGTCAGGGGTGCTGGGAGGCCACAGATGGTGGCTCTGAGTCTGGGTGGCATGGGAAGCCCTTGGAGAGCTTCGAGTCAGGAGACAAGCGAGGGCTGACAGTCGGTAAAAGGTCTATGAAATCAGTAAGGTTTTGGCATCAGGGGCCTAGTGGGAAAATCGGGGGGGTGATCAGGGTGGTGGTTGGGGTGGAAGCCCAGCATCGGGGCTGTAGAAAGGCTGCCTCTGTCGGTGAGATTCAGGGTCCAGACTTTGGTCCTGGGAGGTAGGAAGCTTCGAGGACAAGATGATTGAAGAGGTCAAGGGGCTGCAAGGGAGGGGTACTGGCGTGTCAGCCAGGTGGATCCTGGCCTCGGCCAAGCGCTGGCATGCTGTCGGACGGGATGGTGATCCGCAGAGTGGCAGAGAGGCTCAGCAAGGACAGTAGAGGGGAGCACAGCCGTGCTCACAGGCTTCTGCCTCACCCCCGAGTGAGCTCGAGGCTGCTTCTCCTGCTCAGCCTTCCCCTCACCCTTTGCCCCGCTTCACCCCTCTTTACCTGTGCTCTCTTCTCAGTAGGACCTCATTGAGGTCTCACCCAATAGCCTAGACTGAACATGGAGACGTGTCCAGAACTGTGTGTGCACTGGGGATGGTGGTGGGAGGGGAGACCTGGAAGTACCATTGGAGCGCTTCTGTGTGAGACGGTGGCCCTGTGGGTTCCATCCTCACCCAGCCTGGTGAGGTGCCTGTCCCACAGAGTAGGGACTGAGGCTCAGAAGGGCAGGGTCATTGGTCCAAGATCAAGTGGTAGAGGGGGTTCTGAATGTAGGTCTCTGCCCCCAGAGTTTGTGTTCTCTTACTCAGCTCTGTCGTTCCAGCATCGTCCACCAGAGTGCTCCACAAATAGAGCAGCCAGACATCTGGTCCCACCATCTATTTCAGAGATTTTTGCCTGTACAGCTTTAAGAAGTCTCAAATTACAAGTTGTGGCATGCACACGACTGCTCTGTGTCTCGTGGAGTGGTCCAGAGGCCACTCACATTGCACTCACACAGTGCTTCTCAGGAGATGCTGGTTGATTCATAGCCTCTAGAGAAAGTGCCGTGTGTTGGGGCCGTGGACTGTCTCCAAGTGAGGAGGTGGAGGCTGGGCAGCAGCGCTGTTCAGGTGAGGGGGACGGCGTGTGAGAAGACCAGCAGCCGGAGACGAGCACCTTCAGGGAGTGGGTGGCTCTGTGCAGGGGCAGGGGGGCGGAGACTAAGTCACAGGTGGCCTGTCTTACTGAGGAGTTCGGATGTTGAGCTTGAAGGCCCTGGGATACCCAGAAAGATCTTTACAGGTCTTTAAAGAAGCCAGTGACAAGGTCAGATCTGGGTTTCAGAAGAGTGACCCTTGGCAGCAGTGTGACAGGTGGATCAACAAGGCAGGGGAAGCAGGCGAAGAGCTGCTAGAACAATGCCGGTGTGAGAGAGGAGGGCCTGTACCGTGGGGACCACAGGGGAAGGAGGTCTGCATGTCTGGGCAGAAAGTGCTGCAGCCACCGAGGTGGGTTCTTGAGGGCTCAGTTCCTGGCAAGCTGGGCAGAAATGTCGACAGAACCTCTGAATGGACATGTCCATTGGGACGTTGGAGGTGGGACAGGAAATGCTGAGATCTGCCGTCTGCCACAAACGTGTTCAGGATGTTGTGCACTCCTGCTGTGGCACTTCCTACCTGTGACAGCCTACCTGTCACAGCCGCCCCCACCTGAGACCACGAGAAATCTGCAGCCTGACAGACTTGTTGACCCGGGAGACCACATACCCTGAGGAACTGGGGGCAGCTCACCAAGCAAAGGGAAGGCTGCCCGAGGATGGGGGGAGGGTGGGGCTTAGGTGACACTGAAACGGAGGGGTTTTGATAGGCTCAGGGCAAAGTGGGCTGAGTGTAACAGGTCCTCGTCAGCCTGGACTGAAGTGGACCGGGTCCTGCTTCTCACCGAGATAAAAGCTGTGCACGTGTGTTCAGAGACCCCTCATCAGGAGTCTGGGGCCAGAAATCTGGGCTGCAGCTGTGTCAGTGCCTTCTAGCCTCCAGGGAAATGTAGGTCTTCCCTGCTTACTGCTGCCCCTTCGAGGGGAAATTTCCCTCAGTCTGTGATGTCGGGGAACAGGTTCCTTAGTGAAGAAGAAAGGGGCAGTCACTCAAATGGGTCTCTTAGGGAAGAAAGCCCACGGCAGTCGTGTGTCACTCTGCAGCTGCTCTGTCTGCGTCTCATCCCAGCATCAGAGGGGGCTGGGCCGGTTCTTACATCTCAGTCTAAATTAGTTTTCACTTCCTGGGGCACCGCTGAAATATTCAAGGTTTAATCCTAAGAAATGCTTCTTGGGAAAGAACTAGTGTGTTCTGTTCTGACAATGACAATGTGTGGTGGTCTGCCTTTGCCTTGTCAGCAGAGCGGCTCAGATACAGGCCTGAGGGCCCTGTGCTCAGCCTTGAGCTCACACCACTGGGATTGTACTGCTACAGGGCATGGGCCTTTAAAATACTTCACATCTTCTGTTTACTTTTTAATTTTACCCATCCCCCTACTCCCTCACTTCTGTCAACATCAGCTTGTTCTCTGTGGTGGGGGGCTGATTCTGTTTTGCTTTGTTTATGCACGTTTTGGTTTTTTTAGAGTCTACATACGAGTGAAATCATACAGTAGTTCTCTGACTTATTTTACTCAGCCTAATGCCCTCCGGGTCCATCCATGTTGTTGCAAATGGCAAGACTCCATATTCTTTCTGCTGAGTAGTACCCCGTTGTGTGTGTGGGCCACAGCTTCTTTATCTGAGAATCTGTTGGTGGGCACTTGGGCTGTTCCCTGCCTTGGCTGTGGTAAATGATGCTGCTGTGAACATAGAGGTGCGTGTAGTTTCTTGAGTTAGTGTTTTTGTTTTATGGGGATAAATAACCAGAAATGGGATTGCTGGGTCATAAGGCAGTTCTATTTCTAATTGTTTTGAGGTAACTTGATACTGTTTTCCACTGTGGCTGCACTAGTCTGCATCCCCACCAACAGTGCATGAGGGTTCCCTTTTCTCCACGTCCTCACCAGCACTTGTTTATGGATTTATTGATGGTCGCCATTCTGACAGGTGTGAGGTGATATCTCACTGTAGTTTTCATTTGCATTTTTCTGACAACTATTGATGTTGAGCACCTTTTCATAAACCTACTGGCCATCTCTGTCATCTTTGGAAAAATAACTTTTTTTTGAAATCTAGAGAATTTAGTTACCTTTCATTAACTGTATTAATCTTTACCTTTATACTTTTTTACTCTAAAATTATATTTACTTTTACTTTTCCCCAAAAAACTTTGTATTATTGAATCCTGTTTGCTGATATTTTGTTAAGAATTTTTGCATCAAGGATACTGGCCTATAATTTTCTTTCTTTTGTAATGTCTTTGTCTGGTTTTGTATCAGAGTAATAGCAAAGAGTGAAGTTAAGGCTTCATAGAGTGAAGGCTTCATAGAGTAAATTTGGAAGGGTCCGTTCTTCAATTTTTTTAAATCGTTTAAGAAGGATAGGCATTAATTCGTCCAAAATGTTTGGTAGAATTTACTTTTGAAGTCATCTGGTTCTGGATTTTTGTTTATTGGTAGTTTTTTGATTTCTGCCTCAATTTTATTACTAGTTACGTCTGTTCAGATTTTCCACTTTTTACTGGTCAGTCTTAACAGTTATAAGTTTCTAGAAATTTATTCTAAGCTTAATTTGTTGGCATAGTGTTCTTTAATAATTTTTTTTTATATTTCTGTGGTGTTGGTTGCAACTTCTTTCATTTATGATTATTTGGGCTTTTTCTTTTTTCCTGATGAGTTTGGCTAAAGGTGTGTCAATTGTTTATCTTTTCAAAGAATGAGCTCTTAGTTTCATTGATCCTTTTTTATTTTTTATTTCTATGCTGTTTATTTCTGCTCTGGTCTTAATTATTTCCTTTCTTCTATTTACTTTGGGTTTTGTTCTTTTTCTAGTTCCTTAATTGTAGACTTAGATTGTTTACTCGGGATTTTTCTTGAGATGGGCCTGTTTAGCTGTAAACTTCCCTTACAACTGCTGTTCCTGCGTCCATTTTTGAAAAGTGTTTTCATTTTCACTTGTCTCAGGTGGTTATTTACTTCCTGTTTGGTTTTGATTACATTTCTTAAGGTTCGTGGCTTACTCAAGTGTTCAGCAAGATCTGTCATCCAAAAAAGCTGATGATCTACTGGTCTGCACCCACTTGTGGGACTTCTACATCAGACACACTCATCCATTCAAAGTGGTTCTAGAACAGAAATGACTTGCACTCCCCTTAGGCAGTTCGTGTTGAAAATGTGCTACATTTAAATCTGTACTTTTGTTTATCTAAGCTGCAAAACTTGCCCTATTTCAAACCCTTTTTTCTCAACAGATAAAATATTTTGATAAAAGAAGAGACTACTTAAAATTTAAAGAAAAATTTGAAGCAGGACAATTCCAGCCTTCAAAATCAACCGCAGACTCATAGGCTATTCCTGGCCTTTTCAGAGAGGGAGAAGCTGTTCTTTCCAGACACTGGAAATCGCTCCTTTGGGTGTGGGATGGCCGTGGTTGGAATCACGGTGAACATCAGCACTAACCGCATCTGTGTACACAACTTAACAATTAAAATGATTGCATGACAGGAGATAAACTATGAAGAATTGGAATAAAATGGTATGAAATACGCTTAGTTTTAATTTAGTAAGAAGTCAGTATTTTAATAAAAAAGTTAAAGCCTATTATAAAGTACCTATCTTTTTTAGTTAGAAGATGGGAATCAGCAAATATAAGATACTGAAAAAAGTAGGCTGTTATGTGTCCTGGGAGTTGCCATTTTAATATAGGCACACGCACAAAAATAAGGGTTGAGAGAATATAAAATAATAGAGACCATCTACAAAAAACTTAGCTAATATCATACTCAGTGATGATATGAGGAATGTTTTTCTTCTTCCAAAAGTCAGGAACAAGGTAAGGATGTCCTCTCTCACTTCTCTTGTTCACCACTTTAGCGGTTTCCTAGCTACCTCACTAAGACAAGAGAAATAAAAAGCATGTAAATTGGGAAGGAAAATCAAGTCTGTTCATAGATGATAGTATTATCTCTAAAGAAAACCCCCCCAAAACCAACAGAAAAACTAATAAATGAATCTTAGAAAAGCAGCAGGAAACTGGTCAGAATATAAGAGGAAGTCATACTCTTGTGTCCTAGCAATGAACAATTGGAGTATAAAAGAAAAAATACATCACGTAAAATAACACTAAAATTTTTTTAAGGGAATACTTTAGTATATAGCTTACAAAATGTTTGAGACCTACAAAAACAAACCCTTGAAATTAGAGCAGATCTAATTAATTGGCAATTATGTACTGTGTTCATGGATTAGATGACTCAGTACTGTGAAGATATCATTAAATTCTCCCCAGTCTGTTTTATGGGTTCAACATAGTTCCAGTCAAACCTAACAAGTGTTTTTTGTAGACAAGGACTAATAACAAACTGAGTGTAGAATTATATGAGAGGGCAAAGGACCTCAGAGAGCCACATGGTTCTGAAAAAAAGGGGAGCTGGAGGACTCACTGTGTGACCACTGCAGTAATCCGGGCAGAATGGCGGTGGCAGGAGAGGCACTGCGTTCTGTAGAAGGGGACAGAGCCCAGGTCCACACCCACACAGAGTCAGCTGGGTTTGCACGAAAGTGAAGGCAACTGAAGGGAGAAAGGACGGTCTTTCCAACACACAGGGCTAGAAAAACTGGATGTCCACACACAACAGAACGAACCCTGACGTTACCTTACCTCATTTTTAAAAAAATGGATCATAGATTTAAATACAAAACTGTAAAACTTCTAGAAGAAAATGTGGAAGAACTCTACAAGATTTCAGGTTTGAAAATGAATTTTGAGATAACATCAAAAGCAAAATTCATGAAAGGGGAAAAAATCATTGGATTTTATCAAAATTAAAAATTTTGCTCTCTGAAAGATTCTATTAGAACAAAAAGAAAATTTCAGGCTGGGAAAATATTTGCAAATCACATAACAAAAAGAAGTATCCAGAATGAAGAACTCTTAAAACTCTTAAAAAAACCAAATCGCCCAAATTTAAAAAATGGGCATAATGTTGTGATAACCAGTATTAGGTATTATGTAAAGACGCGTCGTATTATTAGTAGAGTATAGCAAATGAAAAGCACGTCCATCTGTCACCGCATGCCTGTTAGAGGGAATTACAAGTGGACCATACCGAGTGTGGATGGAGATGCACAGCAGCAGAAACTCATCCAGCCCTGGTGGGAGAATGCAAAGGGTGACACGTCTTTGGAAAACAGTTTGGAGTCTGTGAGGTTAAACACGCTTGCCTTGTGACCCAGCGTCCCACTCTAGGTATTTCACCAAATGAACCGTGTTGGAAGCAGCCCAGGTGCCTGCAGCAGAGGAATGGATACGCTATAGTACATTGAGACAATACCACGCAGCAAAGAAAAATGAACAGCTGAGTCTCCCAACACCACAGGCAGACCTTAAATGGATTTTGCTATGTGAAAGAAGGCAGACCCAAAAGGCTATGTGATTAAAACATGCTTCGTTTACGATTCTGGAAAAGGCAAAACAGGTATAGGAGACAGAACCCAGACTGTTTTTAACCACCACTGAACTCTGGGCAAAGGTGGCACATGAACATTTTGTTTACAAACTTCATATGGATGATTGTGACCTTGTTCCTGGCTTTAAAAATAAATGGAAACCTATCACCTGAGTGTTCTGAACTTTCTAGGGAAGCTGGCTAGCACCTTGCCGGCGTGCTCCCCGACAGTGAGTCCCACGGACTCTCTTTCTTGCAGAACCCCTCCTTCCTTGTGCTGTAGGGGACAGAGCTGCCGTGAACTGCCCCACTCCGCAGCACGCTTTTCCAACAACATTAGTTCCTAGGAAGGATGAGATCTTTCAAAAATATATGTTTATTTCCACAATTGCTTAAAACATTTTACTAAAGAAGCAATATAATTTAGCTAAAAATGTTTAAAGGGGACAACACAGTAACGTGTTTAAGGCACATGGAAAAGTTTGGCATTCAATTGTAAGAAAAAATGAACAAATTATCCCAGTAAATTCAGAATCGATTTCATCAGTCCAGATAGTTTCCTTTTTAAAATGACGTGTCCACAGCACCAGCGGCTGACCTCCGAAAAGGCAGGGCCTCAGGCCGGGCGCCCCCGTGCCGGAGGAGCCACTGCCGGGTGTACTCCCAGACCAGCAGCGCCCCGCTCACGTGCACGTTGAGCGAGCGGACGATGCCCTGCTGAGGGATTTCCACACACACGTCCAACTGCTGGATCAGGTTTGCTGGGATTCCCTCACGCTCGTTTCTGATGAAAAATGGGAAAAGGTTACTTTTCTTGTAATGAGCAGTATCTCTCTCGGGTGTTTGAATGTTACTGGAAGAGACAGAGTAACAAAATAAAATAATTGTAAATTACCAGGAAAATAAGAGGATAAGAAAGTTTATGGGTCAATTCTCTGTTCATCTGACCATCCCAAAGGGATAAAAGAAAATGAAAAGTAGAGGGCTTTCCGTGAGCGTTACAAGTCAAAGGTCAAGTGCAGGTGTAATATTAGGGGTCGTATTGGGAGTCCAGGTAAACTGAGGTTTCTGAAGCCCCATCTACCCTGGGGCTGGCAGGAGTCACTGCCGGCAGGGAACTGCGTACCCCAGCAGGAGCAGGGACTTCTCAGGAAAGCAGTACTGCGTCAGGTCGGCACTCCGGGCGGTCTGCTCCACGCCGATGACCGTGTAGCCTTCTGCTTTCTTCTGCTGCAGGTAATCCATCAGCCGCGGGGGCTTTACCTTCAGTGTTTCAAAAGAGCAGAAGGTTAAATCACTCAGCTATAGACCTGCTTGGAATAAAATCAGAGTTTTAAAAAAAGCTTTTATTAAATTGTTTAAAAGTCTTTTTAAAAAGGAAAGGACAGAAATATATACTATAAACAAGAACTCCCCCAACTTCATAAAAATTTGTGGAAATTATTCCTATATCAACAGTGACTTGAGCAGAACTCATTTTACTTAATGAAAAGAATTCTACATATTACTGATGTCTAAAAATACAACCACATGAAAGACAATAGAGGAATAGGAGGACAGAATTGGGCTGTATTTTACTTTTATTTTTGAACTTTTAAAGGCTGGAGTACTATAAATCGCTGCAAATAAACTGCTATCGGAAGATGGAGTACTACAGAGTTTGGCCAAAAAAAAAAAAAGAAAGAAAAATTTTAATCACTTTCTACCCACCTCCACTAAAGGAAGCCACTGTTCCGCTGAGACACTAAGGTGCTGGAACTGTTTGTCGTGGACACACTGAAGGTTGCCGACAACCAGCACCGAGGCCCCGAAGACCTCGCAGGTACGGCACAGACCTGCACACAACAAGCTGGAGTCACTGTCCCCAGCACAAGGCTGGGCGCATCACGTCCCGCACGTCCCCCTGGAGCACCCAAGGAGGGTTACACATGAGAGACAGACGGACATGGCAGTGCACCGCCTGGCACTTGCATGATCAAAGATTTTAGGCAAGCCCCAGAATGCTACAGTTTTACCTCCTAAATTGGTTGGCTTATCAATGAGTGAGGCCACCACAATCAGTCTACCAGTGGACTTCCCCAGCTTGGAAGCACGATCCTGAAACACTAGCGCCAGGTCTAACTCAGGGATGTTATTTTTCCATGGGATTAACTTCTTCTGAACATCAGTCCACTCGGATGGGCTGTCTGCCTCGCCTGAGTTAGAACCTGGGAAGGAAAACAATAATGTGAATAGAAACCAACCTCTCTCTCTCATATACTGTATACATTATGTATGTTTTACATACATATGTTACAGAAGTTTGAAATGATAGGATCAGGTTCATTAAGTAAAGAACTTGACTTGGATTCAGACTCAATTGCAACTTTCAAAAGTGATTTTTTAAGTTTTCGAATTCAATTTGACCAATATATTTGTAGCATCTCATTAAAAATATCAGGTACTTAGACACACTTTTTTTTTTTACATTTTATTATCTCCAAAATTGGGAAACAATTCATTGGGTGTCATAGTTTGCTAGTATTTCTTAGAGGTAATAAGATACTGTGTATCTTACAAACAATAGTGCATTAAATTAGGATTTTGTGCAGAAATATATTCCTGAAGACAACGGAAGTAGCCTTTATCCTAAATCACTTTACAAGTAGTTGGGGGCACATCTCTAAAGTAAAGGACATTTATTCTCTTCCCTAGTCCAGTGAGCATGCAGACCGTCACTACCCGTCTGGCCACACTGCCGTCTCCAGCACAGACCTCAGCCTCTCCCTGCTCCAGACTGCTGACTGAGCAGCCCAGGAGCACCTGGCTACTGGGGCTGGAACACGCACACTGAGAACTGCACCAGAGTGCTACAGGGAGGGCATGCACACCCAGAAAGGGGTCGTTAACATCTGGCGGGGAGGGGAGATGGAAAGGCCCAGGAGGCTCCCAGGAGGGGGGCAGTGGTGCACTGCTGGTGTTGCTCAGGAGCAAGTGCTGGGTGGTGGAGGTGGCCCGACTCTGGGAGAGGGCGCTGTGCGTAGTGATGATGGGAGCCAGTAAAGGACTCAGGAAGGGTGACGACAGAAGTGGTTCTGAGTTCTAGAGAAATCCCTCTTAAAAGT